CCCCGCTTTCCCCCCAGCCAGCCCTGCTTCCCGTCGGCCAGTTCCCCCCCCCGATCTCCTCCCAGCCAGCCCCACTGCCCTCCTGGCCAGTCTCCTCCCCCCCGATCTGAGATCAAGTGTGTCTGGTATTTTTTTTTTTTAACCATCTGGTAACCCTAGAAGGAGCGGGGCCAAAATATTCCCGGGTTCCCCACCCCCAGACAATAATTGGTCTGGAGATCAGGGAGCCTTTGTCCCCACCCCACGTTCCCCCAAGGTGCCCATGCCCCTGACGTGGGAGGAGACTTCCCTCACTCCACTGCCCCTAGGCCAATTAGGCCAGGAGCACATGGTGCTTTGAAGCGCCATGCACTGCTCACTGGGTGGGGGCAGAGCAGAGAAGGCTTCACGCATCCCCCTGGCCCTAATTGGCCTGGAAGCGGGGGAGCAGCAGGGCCTCCATGGACTGGATCCACCCACTTGGCAGGCCAGATCCAGCCTGCGGAGGCTCTTTTGCTCACCCCTGCCCTAGAGCCTGCTAATCCTCGTTACGTGTGATTGGGTCCGAGTTCCTGAGGAGGACCAGTAACGCCCCCTTCTTTCCCTTACAGCAAAAGATGGTTCGATCGTCCCAGTGCAGTTTCAATGGGGACTTTGTCTGTGGGCAGTGCACCTGCTACCCAGGCTGGTAAGGATCCTGTCTAGCTCTGTGAGGGTCCAGTCCTGGAAACTTCCCCCTCCAGGCTTCAGTTATCAGTGCAGATCAAAAGATCTTGGCTTAGGCTCCCTCCCCCTGTACGCGAAGCTGTCTCTGCGGATGTGAATATCCCCCCACCTGCTCCCACGCCAGGGATCTGCCCCTGACGGGCCCCCATGGACCCTCTGCCTTCTAAGGACTCACAGTGAGTGTCTCTCTGCCAGGCGAGGGGATATGTGTGACTGCTCCACAGCCTCTTCCAGCGACAACCAGGCCTGCATCCGGCCTGGCGACTCGGAGCCCTGCTCGGGGCGGGGCGAGTGCCTCTGTGGGAAATGCCAGTGCTATTCCGAAGACCTGACCCAACGCTATGACGGCGACTACTGCGAGTACGACAGCTTCCAGTGCCGGCGCACCTCCGGCTTCCTCTGCAATGGTGAGTCAGGAGATGAGCGGCTGGCACCTGCCCACTGAGACGGGGCTGCTGGCTGGCCGCAGGGGCTCCCAGGCAGCAGTAGCTGCAACGGGATGGAGCAGCCACTGAGCTTTGCCATTCACTCCCCTCACGGTGTGAGTTTCAACTCAATATACGAATGCCCTACAGTGCAGGGGGGAGATCCGGCTGGGGTGGCCGGTGGGTCTGAGAGTTGAAGGCAGGAACATCCCCCAGGGATGCTGCCCTGCGCGGCGCTCACCTGTAGCACCTGCTCTTTCTCCGCAGACCGCGGTCGCTGCTACATGGGCCAGTGTGCCTGTGAAAGCGGCTGGGGGGGCGAAGGCTGTGAATGTCCCACCAGCAATGACACCTGCATCGACAGCAAAGGGGTAGGTTACTTCGCCGCCGGGGCCAGCACTGGGTGTGGGAGGGCGGGCGGGGCCAGTTAAATGGAGGTTGAGACTGACTTTCCTGGGGCCCTGGTTTCAAAGGGTTCTGGGTCAGAGAGAAATCGGGTCTAATTAAGCTGGGGCACTGGATGACCTGAGGGAAGCAAGTGCAGCTGTGGGTAGCACAGTGCTCTCCCTAACCCAGTGAGTGAGTTTCTTCCTGACCCCAGCTGATGATCAGCTCCTGCCCTGACACATGAGGATTTGATGGATGTTATCATTTTTATCTGGTCTCACTGTGGGATAGGGGGAGAAGGTGACAGGACAACGCTAAAGAGGAGCTGCTGCTCTAAGATCTCTGTTACCAGGGAGGGCTTGTCACTAGTGTCAGAGGCTGATCTGCACCCTGTCTACCCCTGCAGGGGATCTGCAATGGCCGCGGGAGATGCGAGTGTGGCCGGTGCATCTGTGACAAGCCTTCTCCATACATGGATCCCACCTGTGAAATCATCCAGTCCTTGGTAAGGCCCACTGGTCAGAGACCGATACATCTAATGTGTCCCTGAGCGCTGCTCACAGCCTGGCTCCTGAGCCCCTAGGAGAGCAGGGAGCTTTGGAGAGGGCTGCGGGGGGAATCCTAACCCAGGCCAAGAACACACCCATGCCAGATGCAGTCTCCTGGGGATGGATCTGCTCTCTCCTTGGGTTTCCATTCTAGGTCAGCCGCTGATCAGTTTCAACAGCGGCTGAATCTGGACTCCTGGGACAGAACAGCTGGGGCGCTGCCGGGTAGGTCCCCGGAGGACCAACCCGGCAGCACCCCAGCTGCTCTACCCCAGGCGTCCCGCAACAAAAGCCTGGTCTGCTGGGGGGGGGGCGCACTAGCTGCGCCCCCTCCTCCCCCAGCAGACCAGGGAGACCCGAGCAAAGCGGCGGAGGCGCAGAGGTCCCGCCGCCTCTGCGGCTTTGCTCCTGTCTCCCTGCTGTGCTGGGGGAGTTCCCCCCAGCACAGCAGGGAGACCCGAGCAAAGCCGCGTGGGCAGCGGGGTCCTGCCGCCTGTGCGGCTTTGCTCGGGTCTCCCTGCTGTGCTGGGGGGGACTCCCCCCCAGCACAGCAGGGAGACAGAAGCAAAGCCGCAGAGGCGGGGGACCCCACCGCCTGTGCGGCTTTGCTCGGGTCTCCCTGCTGTGCTGGGGAGTCCCCCCCCAGCACACCAGGGAGACCCGGAGCAGCTTTTCTCGCCCCGGAGGACGCGGTGGCGGGACCGCTGCGCTCTGGGTGGTCTCGCCTCCCGCAAGCTCCGGGGCGAGAAAAGCCCCGTTCGTAAGTGCGGATCCGACATAAGTCGGATCCGCGTAAGTCAGGGACTGCCTGTATTTCACTGGGATAGGACTGATTCAAGCCCCAGATCTCAATATCTCTGACATTTGGGAAAGATCAGCTCTGGGTCAAACCGTTGTGAACCAGCGCCTGTCTGTTGACCCACTGCGTGCGTGGTGTGCATCCGTTTGAATCTGCCGTCGGGTTGGGTTTTGCCCACTAAAGACGTTAGGAACCAGCTGCCAAAATCTGGATCTGGGTTCAGATTCCAAATTCCACCTCCAGGCGCCAAAGGAAAAGCATCCAGGCTGGGTGGGGTTGGAGTCTGTGAAGGGATTTGAAGTGACCTAAGCTGGATACCCACTCGCCTTCTCTGCAGAGTCAGTCTGCATGTCACCTCCACACGCTTTCACTTTAGTCCCGCCCCCCAGTCCTACTCTGCAGATGAGGGCACATGGATTCTCTCCAATGCTCATCCTTCAGAGTCCAGTGTTGTCCCTCCCTCTCCCTTTGCCCCCCTCACTCTCTGATGTCGTGTCTCTGGCGTGCAGTTCTTCCTGGGGATGTGCGAGGATGTTCGAAGCTGTGTCCAGTGCCAGGCCTGGGGGACCGGGGAGAAGAAGGGGCAGAAATGCAAGGACTGCCCTTACAAGATCCAGATGGTGGACGAACTGCAAAAAGGTACTGAGCCCTCCTGCAGGCGTCAAAGCTCTGTGTGTATGTGCTGTGACTTCCCCGAGCCCCGCAGGGATCTTGTGGGAGCACGTGTGTGCATCTGCCTCCAGATGTGCGTGCGTGTGTGTGTACAGCACCTAGCACAGTGGGGCCCCTATCGCAACTGAAGCCTCTGGATGCATCCTGCCATGAGAATAGTTGTCCCCTCTCTCTGCAGCGAAGGAGGTGAGCGAGCACTGCTCGTTCCAGGATGAGGAGGACGACTGCACGTACCACTATACCCTGGAAGGGGAGCCCAGCACGATGCGCAACAACACCATCCTGGTGCAGAAGAAGAAAGGTGAGCGGGGCACTGGTGCGGGGAAGAGATGTGGCTACACCTCAGAGCTAGCAGGGCCTTGTGCACGTGCCAACCACTGATCACAGCTCGGCCTCTCTGCCCCTCACCGGTGTCAGGACTGCAAACACAAAGTCTGGGATTCCTCCGGTGACCATGCTAGTGGCCACTTCTCTCCTCACGACGCGTCAGGCAGCACCCCAGGGGACGAGAGCTGCTCCCCCATCACAGCACAAACACAGCAAGGGCAGGGAAGGCGCAAGCTTCTTTCACGCTGTCCTAGAGGGGCCACCTCAGGGCTGAAAGCCTTGTTCAGCCTGCAGCTCATGTCTCCAAGGACACCTGCAAATCCTGGTTGCCTGCCCTACAGAGGGTGCCCACCCCACAGCAACCAGCTGAAATACTGAGGCACCCCCATGCTGAGCCTCCGACCGTGTCCAGCCCCAAGCACCTGCCTGGTTTGCGTGGTAGAAATAATGGTAAAGGATCTGGTCGGCCAGTCACGCAGCTGAGAGCCAGCAGAGGGGCTGGTAGTGCCCACAGGGATGGTTACTGGGAGCTGGATTGAGATTCCCCCCAGTTCATCCCACCAGGCCACCGTACAGACACCAGTGGGGAGCATTTTTCAGTCCCCCTGCCCTAGGCTGGCTGAGAACTGGCTACCCGCTAGAGGGGTGAAGAGCTGGCAGCCTCCACCCCCTTCCCTGTCACTTGTGGGAGTCTCTGAGCGAGTCCCTGGGGCAGTCGCAGGGATGTTACTGCTCCATCCCCAGGAGAATTCTGGCCTGCCCCTCACCCCCTTCTCTGGCTCTGCTGCCCTTCCCTCCCCTTCTTGTCGCACCCCGGACGTGCCAGGCTGCTGCTGCCCCTGCTAACTGCTAGTTTCTTGCTGCTGGTTACAGAGTGCCCACCGGGAGGCTTCCTGTGGCTCATCCCCCTGCTCATTTTCCTGATGTTGCTGCTGGGGTTGCTGCTGCTGCTCTGCTGGAAGTACTGCGCCTGTTGCAAGGTGAGAGCTGGGTCCTGCCGTGCCATGCAGCACTCAAGCGCCCAGGGCTGGTGTGGCAGGCACAGGAGGAGACTGAAACCCGACCACGGGAAAGCAGCAGTTCAGACCCGTCTGGCGCTGCCTGGCTTTCGGAAGACACTTTCCTGAAGGCCTCGTCATGCCTTTGTCGATCCAGCTGGGAAGCCAAAGGGGCTGCATGTAAAGTGGTCTGGGGAAAGAGGGCCCGTTCCTGTGGGACCTGAGGGCAATTCTGCCAGTGGCTTCAGTAGGAGGGAGATTGGAGCCGGAACGTACCAAAAGTCGTGGCACATCCGGGGCTGTGTCCCACTTAGGGTCAACGCGCTTTTGCTTGTCCACATGAGGCAACAGTTGCTCTGTGGTTTAGTGGGCAGGTGTCTGGGCGTCCCTCACGTGGTCAGCTCAGGCAGTGTTCTGCCCACACAACCACAAAAAAACGTGGAACAACACAGCTAGCTGGGCCACTGGGGTGTTTAACGATGGCTGGGTTTGTGAGCCAGAGCAGGCCAATGGGAGGAAAGGACGCTAGGTTCTGTTTATACACAATCCACCACTTTCTTGATGATTTTTTTTTAAATTAAGCCACTAGTTTTTTGGGTCTGCTATCAAATGTGGGTTGTTTTTCCCGTGTCTCCAGAGCAGTAACTGCTGCCAAGGAATCTGCTAGGCAAATGGAGGGGTTAATAAAGTAGAGGCCATATTGGCTCTGTTGTATTTAACACACACACACACCAGACCCCACACACATCCCCCCCCCACACACACATACACATCCACAGAGCCAAATGCAGCATGGGCCAAAGGGGCACATAGGTTCTCTCTAGGACCAAAGCTCAGCCGGAGGTGGGGGAAGGAGACAAGATGTCTCTCCCATGTGGCCTCAGCCCCCTCCATGAACGTGTGTGTGTGTGTGTGGGGGGGGATTCTGCCCTCACCCCAGAGGCCAGGCTTGAATGGAAGCCTGACATGCTGAAGCTGTGCCCCGTGGTGCTGTCGTGCACAGGCCAGGTTGGCCTGGGGGCTACGGGAGATGGGGGGGAGCAAAGGGACATGGCCTCAGCATTCCTAGTGACCTGGGATCGGCAGCTGTTGCTGTGGAGACCCTGTGAATTGCCTCCATGTCACCCCCATGGCTTCCTGTTGCTGATCAAGCCCCTCTGGCGGCACGGGGAGCTTTCTCCAGCACTGTGCTCCGAGGAGCTCCAGGCCACATTTCTCTGTTTTATCTCCTAGGCTTGCCTGGCCCTGCTGCCCTGCTGTGCACGAGGTACCAGCATCACGTGGTTCAGGGGCGGGGGGGGGGGGGGGGGGGCCCCTCGTCG